GTTCGTTGATATAGCATTTGTTTTAGCGCAATTGTTGAAGTTGAGTGTTTCGATAAAGTTATATTCGGAAAGAATGAACCAGTTTTATTAAGTAAAGACTTGTGTCGTTAAAATTTCGTCGGAACAAAGTTACGAAAAAAATACAATTAACAAACGGAGACGTAACAATATATTTAAACATACATTCACATTCTTATGCAACTTATTTCTCAAACAAAATGGTGTTTATTGTCAATATACACAAAATGACATCATATAATATTGTAATACATTATTAAAAAGATAAATGTACATCTTTTTCCATGTAAAACCGTTTACTAGATATTATAATGTAAATTAATGTGGGGATGAGAAACAAAAAAATTAATATTGTTACGTATCTGCTTGTTTGTTAATTTCCCTTAGAAATTTTTTCCGAGAAACTTCAGCGATACAAGTCCCTTCTTGATTAAAACTAGTTTATTATTTCTCAATACAAACTTTGTAATACACTTAACAACTTTTATAACACATGCTATAAACCACAATGATGCACACACTTTACTTACGGTGCCTATTGTTCACTTGACTCAATTATCTATCTCTTCAATCAATCTATCTATATCGCTGGCTTTCTTTGCCAGGCTTATATACTAAAAAAGAGGGCATCTAGCAAACACTCGGACATTCATGGGGATTCCCCGATAATTCTACAAACTCCAGCGTGCATGCTCCCAGCGTCACGCGACTTCCTCTGTCGTAACACTGCCCCTTCCTTAGTCACTTACATTAAACCAATAGATAATTAACAATAACTTAATTAAATGGGCAGAATTTACAAACACAAAATTAAAATACAACAAAGTCTCTTAATTTTAATTTCTTCCTTATTGGTCTCCATCTCATTGGCTTCTGCTTCATGGGTTCATCTGCTCCATCAGGAAATGTCCCATTATCGGTAGCAGTCACATCAGTGGTAGTAACTTCATTAACGGTTTCACTGTTTTCCATCTCAAAACCGGGTAGAGTTTCTTCTTCGACAGCGGCTTTTTCAGGTGACACGTCTTCAGCAGCATCATTTGTTCCATTGTTCACTTCGTTCCAACTGAAATGTCCTGGACCATGATAACACCAAAGCCTGTTGGCATGCATCACCTTTGGCTTACCTCGCCGACCACATTTTATTCAGAAAGTCACGTCTGAGAGACGATCCACTATGTCATATGGGCCTTCCCATGAAGATGACAACTTAGGAGACTTCCCTTCGGTCTTCCTGGGATTATACAACCACACCTTGTCTCTTGGTACAAAACTAAATTCAATAGATCTCTTATCATAACATAACTTCATCGAATCAGCAGACGTTTTCAAGTTTGAATACACTTGATGGTG